GTAGGCTCTCAGCATCTTCAGGCTGTGTGACTCCCTGACTCTTGGAGACGTCTGTTCCTTGGTGTTAGGGGAATAGCCCTGAGACCTGTGTTCTCAGCAATAACAAGCAGTAGATTTACATGGTCTTTGGGACAACACTTCGTATTCTGATGGTAGAGTTGACCTATAAACACACAACACCGGCGACCTTGCAGGACAAATCAACTGGGGCTTACGAAGTCAATGCGTTCAGGAGGCAGGCAGGGAGAGAAGAGGGAGCAGTGGGCTGGGTGGGAAGGAGACCATCTAGACGGGATGCTCCCTGCTCCATATCAGCGAACTGGTGCTGCGGAGACCCAGGGTCTCGTGTTGCCAGACCTTTGAAAATTTCAAAGAGAGCTAAGATACCCACATTGTGATGTGACATTCCATGATTCTTCAACACTGCACCCAAACTGGCGTGTGGATGGCCATTTGGTGACCCCTTCTGAAGTAATCAATAAAGGGCAAGGGAGAGGCCCAGCCTGGAGTGCCACGGGTGGTGAGAGCAGGGAAACGGGTCAGGTGTCTTCTTTACCTGTGCACATGCCATTCTTGCTGCCTGAAACACACTCGCCTCATCCCTTTCCAGCCCCGCTACCTCGTCCCCTTGGAAAACTTCTATTCATCACTGAAACTCAGTTCAGCCACTACTGTCTGATAAGCCAACCCCACTCCCCGAGACAACTCTAACACTCCCCACAAATCACTGCTACACCACACACGTTGTATTTTGATTTTCTCTGTATAGGACAGCCAGCCTTACAGGGAATGCGGTCACCCAGGGCAGGGAATATGTTTTCCTTTTGTCTGCATTTCTGGGGCTTAACACCATGCCTGGGCTTCGTTAAAGGCTCAGAAATGCTTGCTAAGGGAATAGCAGATTTTTTTTTTTTTTAGATTAAAGAGGTTCTTTCTCAAAGTTTGATGCTCCTACTAACTACTGCAGAATCCCCCTAGGGCCAGTTCTTGAATATTCGGATTCAGAAAGTCTAGAGTCCTCCCTCTGAATCTAGCTTTAAATAAGCTCCGTGGATGAATATGATGTGCACTGAAGTTTGAGGACATGTGGGCTAAGCTGTAACCCCCACAAGGAAAGAGGCTGTGTCTTCTTCATTGACCATTATGTTCCGCGCACCTGGTACACTGCTTGGCATGAAGAAGGCATTTGGCATGCCTTTGCTGAATGGATGGATGGATAAATGAAGGAAAAGGTAAGAATTAAGTTGCATCAATGCTCCTCAGACTGCTAATAGAAAACCCAATCGATAGTTCTCCTGTCCCTCTATTTATACTTACCATAAAGGCACCAAGATAAGCTGAAGGATCAGTAACTACCATTTCTATGGACAACCTCCCCAACCCCTGCACCTGGAGGCTAAGAGGAGCGCTAAGGCATTTGGATTGCTGCTTCAGTGACTTTATCCTTTAATAATGGCTGACGAGGAAAGCAAGAAAGACCGAATGCAAAGAAGACACAAAACTCTCATCTTGGCCAATGGCGTTAACAATTCTCCTCTTCCATCTCTTCTGCATCCCCTACCCTGTACCTACCACTCTTTCTTTTTAATTCCTGTTGCTAACACATCTAGTGGGAGTAGCTCCTGTTACACTTCTCCTTTCCTTTCTCCACCCTCTGCTGGAGGGATAATGAATAGCAAAATGCACAAGAAAGCATCAAATGGTAGCAGGAATTATGGAAATACACAGATTTGATTGTTTTTTGGAGGTAAGACTGGGGCAGTTAATTTAAGGTAACTACGAGACCAGATTTCAAAACAGCACCTGGTACTAAATCTGAATAAGATTCTTGACTTGTTTTCCCATAAATTATTGATTAATGAATCTTCCCTAAAACCTCTCTCCTCCCTTTGACATTTTGTAAATCGATTCCAGTTGGGACAAATACACAGTTTTCACAGACAGCTGAACAATGTGAACAGAGCCCCAGATGGTTCCCAGCCTCATGTGGAAGTTAACAGAGAATCTTCCAGGCAGGTTGGAGATTACATTGCCACCATTACCACCCATATTGCCCAGTACCTCTCTGATCTTGGAGCTAAAGAAAAAACTATAGGTCTAAGAACAGGATAACATTATTGCTTCTCAGAAAATCCCCTCAGCAATGCCTCCAGTGGATTGTAAACTACTTGAGAGCAAGGGCCTTTTATCATTTCTGTTTTTCTTTCTTTCCTTTCTTTTTAAATTTGATTTTAGAGAGAGAAGAAGGGAGAGGGAGAGAGAGATAGAAACATTGATGAGAGAGAACATCAATTGGCCACCTCCTGCATGCCCCCCACTGGGGATCGGGCCCACAACCTGGGCATGTGCCCTGACTGGGAATCAAACCAGTGACCTCTTGGTGCATGGTTCCATGCTCAACCACTGAGCCATACCAGCTGGGCATCATCTCTGTTTTTCTAACATCCATTTCAGTTCATAGATTGAAGAAACATATAAAGAATAACAAAACTCACAGAAGCCTGTGCATTGGTCTATGGCAGGAATCAAGTGCAAGAACCCAGATCCATTCATTTCGACTTCACTAACCACAATGGATAATATAGCTTGTATCATATTTCAATCTCCCCAATGAACGCCCAACAACCGTATTAAAGATCAAGTCTCAGTTTGTTAAGATAACAGTACAGAAGCACCACCTTTTGCCTCCGAACATTTCCTCCTTTTTGTCTTTTATAATCTTGTCCTGTCAGTCAACATCCTGGCACCAGGACAGCAGTTAACATCTCTTTCCAACGAGCTCTGCTGTAGACAGTTCTCAGCAGTATGAGTGCCAGCCATTTATTCTTCTTGACTCCCTAAACAAGTAATCCTTCTTGAGTAATGGGCCCTTCTGAGAGTATGACAAAATCTATAACGCCTCTCCTCAGGAAGTAAATCAGCACATTCATATGAATGCAAAAGAGTATACATAACCTCAGGTGCTTTTTTTGTTGTTGTTAATCCTCACACTAAGATAGCTTTCCATTGATATTTTTAGAGAGAGTGGAAGGGGCGGAGGGAGGGAGAGAGAGAGAGAAACATTGATGTGAGAGAGACACATCGATTGGTTGCCTCCCATAACCCAGGCATGAGCCCTTGACCAGAATCAGACCTGTGACCCTTCAGTCCTTGAGCCAATGCTCTAACCACGGAGCCGAACCAGCCAGGGCTGAGGTTGTTTTTAGATACATTGATCCCCACACCCAAATCTATCCAAACACCCTAAGACACATCGAAAGAAATGGGAGGTCATCTGATAACCAAATACCTCCTCAAGATTATTCTAGTTCCCCTCGAGACGGTTTCACAGAAGTTCAGCTCAACACCTAAAACTCCAGCTCTTTTTAAAGTCTAGCGAGTAGCACAACAGACAAGACTTTCAATCTCAGCATCGCCAACGTGAAGAACTGCTATTTCATTTATTCAATGGGTCACTCCTGCGCAAAGTCAAAGCTGCGATTTGAAGCATTATAACATTTTCTTTTCAGTTGCTTTATCAGGCCTCTGCCTTACAACACCCAGAAAACTCTCCTGCTTCTCGGTAATCATCTCACTATAATTGATCAGGATACCATGGAATCGGTGTATCTTTCACCCCGGAACATGGACCTTAGGGTCACTAAGCCACCATTTATTTTCTGGGTGACCTTGGGCACATTATATAACCTGTTGCAGCCTTAGTTTCTTTATCTCTAAAAGATAACAGTGCTCTGCAGGGCTCCTGTGAGGATTGAACGAGCTAACACATGAAGAGCAATTAGCGCATTGCATAGGCCATAGTAGATGCTAAATAAATGGCAATGGATGTTACTCTAATTGTCTATAAAATAAATTTAGTTCCTGAAAGACACCAAGTCCTCAATAAGTGGAATCTAATATAATTATAATTCTTAGAATTCATGTCTACCTAGACGTGGTCTTAGGGATAGGGAGATTCTGAATTCTCACTGTGAGCCTTCAAAGCATGTCCAGTTCAAATCACTGAGAACCCACCACGAGGAAATGAGGAAAAGAGATGAAGCAAATATGGCTTGTGACTTCTAACATCCACAGCCCAGCAGAAGTCACCGAGTCCACCGTGGCACACAAAACCTGCGGTGCCAATTTCATCCAGTTTTGAATCTTAAGTAGTTCTTGCCCATCCAACTCACACTTCCCGTGCTATAATATCCTACACGAGCTTAATCCCTGGAGGGAATATGTCTTCGCTGATTAATTTTTATGCTTTCATCTGTCATCAAATGGCAATCATGCGACCACACAGTTTCCTTCTCAGTCCCAGTTGTCAGAAAAACTCAAGATGGTGTTTATTGCCCACGTGTATAACGCATTCAATTCAGATGTCAGAAATGTATCTCCTTCTGGAGGTCACCTCTGTGCCGCCTTATACTCAAAGTTCGCCCTACAAAATATGTCTTAAGCAATTAATCACGTCAAAGCATTTCGGAAATAATCAAGGCACTGATTTTTAACTAGTTATTGGTCATTTCCCAAAATGAGAAACCAGATATACCACTTCTCATACATCTTTTTTTTTTTTTTTTTAAATCAAGCTACAGGGACATTTTCTCCTTTTTACCTGTGGACAGGAAAAGGTGTGAGGGCTTAAAACCACATTCTCCAAGTCAGAATCTTTCATTCTATGTCTCTCAGAAGTTTTCTATGTAAGGAAGTCTTCCAGCGAAACCAGAAAACCTCTGCGAGGTAGAGGAGACGCAGTCAACTCCCGTACCCCTCATTCTGGCATTTGAAGTTAGCTGACAGAGAAAAAGTGAAGCCGTTCTATGAAGCATTGCAGGAGCTAAAATGCCAACCGATGGAATCACTTCGAAGGCCCTGGACATTTTTCTCGGAGGGCTCTCTCTTATGAAGACAAATGACGACTCATGTCATTTTTGCAACACCATCACCTACCCACAGGCCCTCTTCTCATTGGTCGATCGCAGAAAGAAATCTCAGAAATAGAAGCAATTACTTACATCTATAGGTCATCTCAAAGCTGTCGCTGATGTTCACAATATCAATCTGGGGGAGGAGCTTTGGGGGCTCTGTGAGTTGCGACAAAGCAAATCTAAAAGCGGCATGTTCCTGTGACTGCTGGTTTGGAAATAATCCCCCTACGAGGAAAGAAAATGCAACATGATATCTGGGCTAGAGACAGGTTTGATTCTTCCCCAGAAGGACCCTTGACTTTTCCCCATACCAAACTCACTAGTTGTAGCCTCTAGTGCTGGGGATGAGAGTTCAAATCGAGGTAACTAGACGCTGAGGCTTAAACTTCTGTACAGGAGCTTTTATGGGACAAGGGCTTCTAACACACCAATCACTCTCCCCACACATTTGATTGTTCACCCTTCAGCTCAGCTCAGGTCTGAGAACAGGAGAACTGTGAGGGTTCTCTTCCTCCTCCCTGTGCCAACCACCTAGGTGGCTCGTGCCCTTGTGTGCACATAAAGCCTTGTGGTGTCTAACTTTTCCTCCAGCAAGCCGATTTGTCAGCACAGCCGTATAGAAATAGTGCTAAGATGTGTGGCACAGTGACTTCTAAATCTGGGGCCCTGTGGGCTTCTCCAACACCGCAGCCCTCTGCTTTGATGCGTTTGGCCTTAGACCTGCCAGGACCTGCATGCCACTGTACTCTCCAGTCCCCTCGGCCATTTGTTATTCATTTCCTCTGAAAACTCTTGATTTTATGTAAACAGTGTTTTGCTTCTTCTTTCACACTCAGGATCCTGGCTACTTAGGACTGATCTGTTACATAAGGGCTTGCCATGGTGTGTCTTTGCATGGCAAAGCCTTGGGCTTCAAAGACCTGGGGGCTTAGAATGTCAAGTGGTTATGAATATTCTCTTCCAGTAAAAAGAACCACAAAGGTGCCTGTCGGGGCTCCAGTTCCAAGGAACAAGAGTGCCTGGCTTACCTTTGTGTTTACTGTGGACATGTCAATGAATTAAAATACATTCCTGGGAGTTAAAATGAGCTATTTCCAGAGGCTGCCCTAGAATGAAGGTTTACACTGAAGTTTATCTGGGATTCCAGAGGAATAACAGTTCCAATATCACGCGCTTCTAACTTCTTATACAATGGGTACGTGCTTGTTTTTCAGAACCAATACATGGATTGGGAGGCTTTTCTTAGAGACTGTGCAGGGAGAACCAAGTACTACCTGCTGGCAGTGATATTTTCAGCGTTTGTTCTTTATTTGAAAACGAAAACAATGGTCACATAGTTGAACAAGCAGGTTGGAGCTAAATGGGATGAAAACTGCAGAGACATGAGCAAGCATATCATGTCCACCCCCTGCGTTCACCCCACAGCAGTGTACACAAATGCACTTGGACAAAGCAGTCCTCATATCTCCAGACAAGCATTTTCAATCAGCAGAGCAAGGGCAACACAGTAAGGACCAACAGAGGCAATGCTACACCAAGGAGCAAGTGATCTACACATGTTCATAGGCTTCCATTAAAAGAGTAAAATCAAAAGAACTCCTCTGGATTCTGTGGCTCCCCAACCCCGCAGAGGACCACACCTCAGACACTTTCCAGGCCCCCTCCTCCACCCCTGCAATGAATGGAGGAGAGGGGGTGGGGGTGGGGAGGCAGGCAGCTACAGGCTGGGCTGCAGGGAAGCACCTCCCTAGGCAGGAAGTTTTGTTTTGCGTGTAAGGCACTAACACACGTACACAGGCACACTTCAGAATGTCGCTTAACAGGTGTCAGGAAACAAAGCAAGTTACTCCATGGCTATCCCGACCGCCCTCGGAGCCAGCCAGCTGGAGAGGCCAAAGTGACGGGCCCTGCAGCACCGGGGTGCCCAACGAAATCCCACCGGCACCTCATCCCCCCACGAGCACACACTCACACAAAGAGCACAAACGACCAGCGATGGGAACTTTCCCTGGTGGAGCTAGATCCCCGTCAGGGGAGAGAAAACAGAACCCAACCAACCAAGATGCCTCCAAGCAAAGCAGTGTGTGCTTGCTTCCCGGTCGGTCACAGACAGCCCTGAGACGCTGGTCACACCGAATCCCCGGGCCCTTGTGGACATGTGTTATTGGTACCACTGTTCCTGTTTGTTTTGCTTACCCCCATTATGATCAGGAGGAGCAATGTCTGTTGGCTGCCCCTGGATACAGGGAGGGTGGGGGTCCCTTCAGAAGCACAACACCAGGAGGGGGCAATGGGGACAGACCGGCAGCATCTGGAAACCTGGCCCCAAGTTGAGAGGAGGGTGCTCAGGGCTGGGGAAAGCTGAGAGGAGGGGAGAGGAACAGGTGTAAATGTGTGTGTTTGTGTGCGGATAAGAGGTAGACAATGTCTGTGCATGGAAAGTCTAAGAGGAGGGGGCTGTCGGAGGGGTGGAGAAAAGGCAGGCTGGGAAGTTCCGGGGTCCCAGGAGTGGGGACCACCAGCCCAGCATGGCAGACAGCAGAGAGCAGCTGGAAGAGTCCAGAGCAGGAGGAGAGCCCCCGGACTTGGAGCGCGGGCCTTTTGGCACGGTTTCAATGGCTGCGATACACCCAGCACCCTTCTCTCCTTGTTTTAGAGGGTCTCTTTAAAGAGACCTCCTCCAGCTACGAAATACTGCCACTCTCAGTTAAGTGTATATGTGCCTATTTAATAGATAATCGCACACAGCAACACACCACATGGATTTATATAAGTAAATGAAATCAGGCACCATCTACCAAGCAATGGAGTTAACTCCTTAAACACCCACCATTTCTTTCCCTGCCAAAGCCTGATTATTTTTATTCCTCCAAAACACTGCTTCCTCCATTGCACATGCTCGTGCCCGGAGTGTGAGTGGTGTGTGCGGACTGTGTTTGTATGTGTGTGTGCACACTTCGCCCTCTGCTCCTCCTCTGATCTGGAGAAGCCCCCTCCCCATGCCCCCTCCCCAAGCCCTGGCCCAAGTCTTTCTCCCATCACCACAGCCGCACAGCTTTCAATAGCCAAGCACAGTTCGTAGTGGGGGTGGGGGGACCTAGACTGCCCCCCCAAACCTGGCCAGACCCCAGAAAGTCCCTCCCCAGGCTACCCCGCTCACTCACCGATCTGGATATTGTTGGGGAAATTGGCACCTACTACCGCGCCCAGGAAACCGGTGCAGAAGAAGGCAAGAATGTGCCGCATATTCCTTTTTGCATTGGCGAGAAAGAAGCCCAGGTCCAGTCATAGATTTGGTGTTTCCCCCTTCCCTTTATTCCGCTCTCTGTTCTGCCTGTTCTTTTCCTCCTGCAGTTCCTTCCTTCCTGGCTCGCTTCCTTCCTTCCTTCTGCGAGGTGTGTGTTTCCCTGGGAATCGGAGCACTTAAACTGCAGCGTTAACACCAACTGACAGCCAGATGAACTGAGCACGGGGAAGAGAAGCCGTCCTCATGCTAGCCGGAGCGCTTCCTCCCCTTGCCTCTCCTCTCTTCTCCGCGCCTCTCCTCTCCTCCTCTCCTCTCCCTCTCCTCTCTCCTCCTCTCCTCTCCTCCTCTCCGCTCGCGCAGCCTGCCTCTCTCTCCCTCCCTTGCCGGCTCCCTCGCTCTCCCCCTCACACTCACACAGGCAGCAAGCTGTGCTCATAGCCAGGAGCCAGCGCAGAGTTCCCCAGCTGCCCCCTCCGTCACTCCCTGCCTCTCCCACCTTATCTCCTTTCAGCGCGGAGGGGAGGAGCGGGGTGAGGGAGTGTGTACAAGGAGCTGGGTCCGAAAGGGACAAAGCCGCTGTCCCCCTCACCAGCCTTCCTCAGCTTCCTGCCCCCTCCCCCAGCTCCCAGCCTGGCAGATGCTCCTGGGAATGTGGGTTCAGCTGTAAGTCAGTAGGTGGCAGGGGGTCCCCGCAATAGTCCTCCATCCACCCGCTGCTTGATCTAGGTCACTTTTTCCAGGAGCGCTGGGGCTGTGCTGGATATATCTCCTGCACTCCACTGGCCCAATTATTCTTACAACTAATTCCTGAGGGGAAGACCCTAGAAATCCCTCCTAGGAGCTTTAAAGGAGAAAAATGCTCCCCCCCCCAATAGGAGGAATGTCAGAAAGACAAACCCCAACCAGAGGGTCGGGGTGATTGCAGGTGCCTAGACTTGGCCGTTTGGCCGTCCTTGTCTGCCTTTGCAGGTGGAATTGGTCCTTCAGTCCTAGGCACTGGAAACGGGCCCCTTCCCCACTTCCCTGCGTTCCACAGGAGACAGCACCAGAATGTGTGGGTGTACCATGAAGGGGAAGGATACTTTCACGGAGCAATTACATGAGTCATTTTGCAGGGATTCTAGTGAGTGGATGCAGGCTTCTTACTGTTCTCGGGATGCTGGTCATTCTAGTGTAAACTGAAACTCCACAGATCCCCCTGGGCAGGGGCTTCCACTGGAGTGACCCGCAGAGGGAATGACTGTGTTCAGGGAAATAGTGTTGGTGGCAAAGTGGCAGGCACAGCACTTTACAGTTTCTGAAGCAATTTCTAAGTGTTGTCCCGCTCTCTCCTCACACCTGTGACATGGTCACCACCCTTATTTTACAGCTGGAAAAAAGTGAGTCTCCAGGGATTCAATCATACAGACATGAATCTCCTAAGACGCAGTCTGGACCCTCAGGACTGCACAGGGTCCAAGCTACGAACTTGGATGTTGTGGGCATGACCGATGGACTCACTCCCTGCCCTGCTCAGGATCCCACCTGACAGATGACCGTCCTGGAGAGGAAAGCTCACCTTTCCTCCGTTGGAAAGAGGGAGAACTAGGCCATGTTATCCAAAACTCCTCGCTTCCCTCACCAACACTGCACAGTCTCACACACTTGTAGGACATCTAAGAGGGTTGGGATTTGCCAGAAATATCTGACAGTGTTCAATGGAGCGCCTAAACTAGGAACAACTTAGAGGTCAGATGCTTTATAATTTCCTATGCACTTCCATATACATTCATTAGTTCAAGTGATTTTTAAAGGCAATGTTGATTTACTCACCATGTTCCAGGTACCATGCTAGGCAATGTGTTTGCATCACTGAGAAATCAATGTTTTTGCGTAATGCCTGTGGTAGGTCATTTCATCCCCTTGTTCTAGTTCAAGAAACTGAGGCCTAAAATTGACCCCAGTTTCCACCACTAACAAGGAAGAGATTGGGGATTTGAACCCAGAGAACTCTCCGATCAGGTCCAAGCTCTTAACCCTCAGGTTCGAATAGCAGACAGCCCTGGGCAGGAAGATTCTGAAGGTATGTGAGCATCAGCTTGGGAAGGTGAAGGAACAGACAGGAAGGATCACCTCCGAGGTCCCTGCTGACATTAGAAGTCTGTGATGCAATGATTCCATCTTAAAAATATAATTTTCCCGTTTGCATATTTTTGTCTCTCACCATTTCGAATGGTACCCGGGGAATCTTTTAAAATCTCTGAGCTTTATGCTTGGTAATAATAATAATTAGACTGTCACCGAAGGCTTCACACTTCACTGTCACCTTTCAGAGGAAGATCTCTAAACCCTTTACAGGAATTAATTAGCAAAACCTCAGCACCCACCTGGAATAGGCAAGACTTGTTCTGTTTACTTGGGGAGAGAGAGGCTTACACGAGTCAAAATCATGCATTTTCACCAATCATTATAAATCATCCAGTCAGATGGATTTTTCCTAAACTATAGCTCTTCGTTATTGTCCTGCTCAAATATGGTCAATGACTCCCCTTGGCCTATTAAATATATATAGTTGTCCAATGATTAAGTAAACAAGGAGGTTATACATGTCAAGCTTGGGCTTCTAGGTCAAAGTCTATTTAAGTTCAACTGTTTACCTTCCTAATCTCTTCAAATATGGGTGGAGAACCTATTCTGTATCTGACAGCATGTCAGGTGCTGGGGATGTGGGATGGAATCCGGAGCACTGTCTACCTCAAGGCAGGTGAATGTGGTAAAAGGGAAAGACAGATGAATCCAGTCATCCAAAGCAGACCGTGGCACGTGCGGTGATAGAGATGTAAACACAGTGCAGGGAAGCAAAGGCGGGAGCGACCGATGCACCTGTCTGTGGGGAGCCAGCAGGGCTACAGAAGAGCTAAGCTCTGAAGGAGGAAACTACAGGCAGAAAGTGAGGGCGGGAAGAGACGCAAACCGAGGAAAGAACACCTGCAAGGGCTGGGCGGGAGAAGGTGCCCCATGTGGACAGGGTGGGGACCATAAATCCCAGACGAGGTCAGGGTCAGGATTTGAAAGCCACTGAATACCTGGCAGGCAATGGAGAGCCATGGGATATTTTCGAGTACGGTAAGTCTATGAGCAGGAATGTGTGTGAGCGAGAAGGCACTGACCTCAGCTTCAAAGCTTAAGACTACGCGCCATGCACCCTCTGGATAACCTACCCTGGTGTCATCCCTCGTTAGTTCACCGTGCCCGCCCTCCTTATAGCTTCCAACCCTATTGCCATCCTGGAAGGATGGATTGTTTATAGTCTGTTGTGACTGATGGCAACCAAACTGTACAGATACATGGCACACTGTGATTTACACAGCATTTGCACATCCATTATTCATTTCATCCTCCCAACAAACCCACAAGGGCAGGAATTAGAACCTACTTCACACATTAAGTAAGGCTCAGAGTGGTAGATGGTTAGATTAAGACGACGGTTGTCAACTGGCAGTGAATATCCCCCCCAGGGAATATTTGGCAGTGTCTACCGGACATTTTTGGTTGTCACACCTGGGCAGGTGTTCCTGGTGTCTAGTGGGTAGAGGCCAGGGATGCTGCTAAACATCCTATAATAAACAAGACAGCCCACACTTCAAAGAAATCATCTGGTCCAAAATATCAATAGTGATGAGATGAAAACACCTTTCTTTCTTTTTTAAATCCACACTCGAGGATATTTTTGCATTGATTTTTAGGTAGAGTGGACGGGAGGGAGGGGGAGGGGGGAGAGAGAGAGAGAGAGAGAGAGAGAGAGAGAGAGAGAGAGAAAGAGAGGTGAGATAGACACATTGATTGATTGCCTCCCACACGACCACGACTGAGCTGGGGATTAAACCTACAACCCAGGTACATGCCCTTGACCAGAAATTGAACCCGCAACCCTTCAGTCTGTGGGCTGACGTTCTAACCAACTGCTGAGCCCAGCCTGCTAGGGCTCGAAACACCTCTCTTGAGAGAAGATAGCAACGGGTACACCAGGACGTAAGAAGCAGGGCCCCTCTCCACTGTGTTACATTGAAGACACTGGATTCATCTTCGTTAAGACTTTTCATATTTTAAAATGGGATCCCTGAAGACGGTGTTCCTTCAAGTCCAAACGGGTGAGTATTGAGGAGGAAAAGCCTCCTAACTGTGCTCCAGAGACGGTGTGGCCCCGACTCCTGAGACCAGTTATGACCAGTCCCAGTGCGTTTCTTGGCATGCTGGAAGTTCCGTTATCACGTAGCCAAAACAGCTGAAGATGTAGGCATTTGGCATTGGTTCTACCTCACAGATCAAGGAGAATGGTGTTGGGCAGGGCTTTGACGTCAAAACGCCTTCTCGGGCTGAGAAGGGGAAGGAATGAAGGGAGCCCTGCCCGGTTTGGCTCAGCGGTTAGAGCGTCAGCCTGCGGTCCAGAGAGACCTGGGTTCGGTTCCTGCTAAGGGCACGTACCTCAGTTGCAGTTTGTCCCCGGCCCTGGTTGGGTCGTGCGGGTGGCAGCCACTCGATGTGTCCCTTTCACGTTGATGTTTCTCTCTCTCTCTCTCTCTCTCCCACTCTATCTGAACAAAATATCAAAAAAAAAAAAAAAAAAAAAAGAAAGAAACGAAGGGAGCCCGCTGGGGAGAGGGCAGGAAGACAGAGGGCTGGAGTGGACACCCTGTCCCAGTGTTTGCAAGACCTCAATGGCAGCTGACAGTAGCCCCAAATGTGGCCATAGCTTCTAATTTATTTTCCAAGAGAAACTAGAAGATTTATTTTTATGTTTTTTTTTTCTTCTTTTTTTAAATATTAAGTGTACCTTCGTTTAATGGGCCAGGAAAAAAAAAATAGAGGGCAGTGTCTCTGGGCCTGATCCGGCCCACAGGCCACACAGTGCCAGTCCTGGTTCGGTGAAAGGCCAGAGACATGGTCCAAGCACCTACCCCAATGTCAGCTCGGGGGCCAGGTCCATTTTGTCTCTGGGCCTCTGCTCCCTCATGTGTAAAATGATGAGACCCATCAGGTGGTTCTG